GTGCTTGCCATTTTACACTTAGCTGTTGGGACTTTCATGGTGGGAGTTGGTTGGTGGGCATCGCTCAACACCAACCACTACTGGTTTCCCGAAGCTGACTTATTGGTGGGATTTTTCTTACACTGGCTCCTCAGATGTCCTTGCTCCCCACAGTTCCAACAGCCTTCTGGGTAGCAGCCTTTCCTGCTGTATCATCTCCCCTGTGCTGAAGTTTCCAGCATTGAGCTCTCTTGTGCCCAGGTTTGTTACAGTGCCAGCAAAGTCCCTCAAACTTCTCTGAAAGCTGACCTTTTCTGGCCTTGAATCCAGATGACTGTACCAACCTCGGTACCTCTGTGCTGGACTTAATATAGGATTCAAATTCGAGAGCTCTGGCCATTGCATCCTGCATGGTAGGAGGGTGTGCTTGCTTCACTTGTATCTTTAGTTGTGGACTGTCCAAGGCATCTACAAACTGATTTCTCAGCAACAACTTGAGGAGATTGGGTGGTGCAGTTGGGTAGGCCTTGTGTGCCATACTTTCCAAGTCCTGTGCTAGCTCTTGCAGGCTTTTCCCTTTAACACGGACTCTCGTCCTAAACCTAGCCCTGTAGACTTCTGACTGATTCTGGGTTCCGTACCTGAGTTCCAGAGCCTCTACCAGTGCTCCATAGTTGTGTCTGTCGGCTGCTGTCAACTGTCCAAGTATTTCCAGTGGTTGTCCCTTCAAGCTAGTTGCCAGATATACTGCTTTCTGCTCCTCTGTCCATCTATTCATCTCTGCCAGTAGCTCAAACTGTGCTCTATATGCTTCCCACAGTGCTTTCCCATCATATTCCTGTGGCTTCCTTCGCACTGGATCACTCCTATTACTAACATTCATATCTGGGATGTGACTTCTAATGGGACTGAATATGTCTGCATTAGGGTTTAGCTGCGGGCTCTGTAAGGGGCTTGCCATTGTCTGGGGCTGATTAAGTCGATGGTCAATGTGTCCTCCTTGTGTAAAAGACAATAGATCGTCCTTTAACGTATCTAATTTGCTTTTAAATTTACTAATATTTTCCATTTGTACTTCTTGTTTCCTTTCTTGTTCCAGTTGCCACTGCTGTAGTCTCTCTTCTTGTTTCTTTTCTCGTTCAGTTTCTCGTTCTTCTTGTTTCTTTTGCTGCTCTTGTATTGCTGCTATCAAGTCTGCTAAGCTGTAGGTTGATTTTCCGCGTCTCGTTTTCATTTTTTTTTCATCCCCTTCTGACACCAATTTGTTACGTCTCTGTATGTTTGTTTGTTAATTCTTTATAAAACTTGTTTATTCTTCCTCAATACAACTTTGTAATGTACTTAATTTTCACAGTTACACACACTATAGTTAACAACAATTCACTCACTATCTATTGCGCTTAGACTTAATTGTCCGTCCCCGCCAGCTATAGTTCCGATCTCTGTGTCTGCTATCCTCGGTTCCCGCCGACCGCAATCGCTGTCTTTCTTTCTCCCTGCCTGCTTCGTCTCTGTCTCCACTACTGCTTCGACTCTCTCTCTCTCACTGTCTAGCACACTTATATACGATAATACTGCCTGTTCTAGAAACTTCCAAGACTCTCAACACGTGCTACCAGCGTCGGTTGACGCAACGCTATCGCAACACACTGGCGAATCTTCTAGAATACTCGTCACGTGACCCCGCTGTCGTAACGCACTAGCGAATCTTCTAGAATACTCGTCACGTGACCACCCCCCCAATGTCATAACAATATCATCATTATGTTCATCAAATTTGGGCAGCTTGGGTAGGAAGGCACCAACTCCATTGTCATTTGAGTCCTTCTTCCTTCGGTTGGGTAACCTTTTATGCTCTGATTCTCTCTATTTGTAGTCTCTCCTCTCTATCAATATGTATTCTCATTCTCTTTATTTCTAGTTTCTCCTTTCTCTCATTTTCTTATTTCAATCCCTTTCTTTCTCAATGTGTCTCTTTTGTTGTCATTTTTCTCTCTCTAGTTCAGTGTTATTTAACAAACTCTTGTAGTTCACTGTCTTTTAACCCAAGACGTTCTCCTCTTTCAACCAAATTATCCAAATCACCTGACATGGTTATATAGGGTAATTGTAATATCTACAACATTTGTGCTACTACTACTGTTTTAAGTATGTAGGCTTACTTATTTTTCTTGTCCTTCATGTTTTCTTCTATTGCCATTTACCACTGTATAATCCTGGCTGTGGCTTGCCAAATGTCAAGTGTTAAGGTTGTGTTCACCAATTGTCAATTAAAGGCTTTTATTTATACTCCTTTATAGTATAAATATACACTGTGTTGTTGTCGAGCTTAGGATTCTTCTACAGTAGGTGTCTGTGAGTTGGTGGTAGTAAATTCAAAGACAAACGAACAGCATGCACTCCACTTGTGTATATATATATATATAATCAAAACTAGTTTAACATGTTTAGAATAAATTCTTTACACCATAGTGATATCATAAACACTATATGGTTCTCTTCTTCTTGTCAAAAGTCCACTTAGGCCTATTCAGTTACTTTAGAATTTCAGTTGACAAGCCAAGCTATCTTTCCCTATTTCTATCACACTAGTATTCTGTGTATAATTCCCTTCCAATTGTGGCACAAGTTACCCCAGTTGTATAATGCTCTTCCAGTAATCGTTTGGTCTTCTTATATTTACTATATTCTTGACATCAATGGCTTACAAAGGGAACTTCCAATAACCACCTGCTTTTTACTCACGTATAATAAAATAAACTATTTAATAATATATACACTAAACAGTATTTTATGTCATGACACTCATCTCTATCTGTTAATATCCAGTTCCTGGGATAACTTGATCTGTCTTTATTGAACTAGTCCCGATTGTAAAATAATTTATAAATATATTTGTCATAAAAATTTATGATCGTAGTCTTCTTCACTTGCTAGTAGTAGTAATATTAGTATAGTTTGGAAATTGTAGTTTACCTTTTGTCTAACCCCTTCAATTCGGT